TTAACACAAGGAAGCATACGATGAAAAGTAAGATTTAGTGTTTTCAAATCATTACTATTTTAAAATTCAAATAACAGATTTATTTTATTTTTCTAATCACAAAAAGAATACGAGGTAATGTAAACGATTACTAAACACAACACCCATGCTTGGCGGGGTAAAACAAAAGACTTCCAACCCAATATTTTAGTCTTGTTAGATTTCGTCGATCATTTATGAGTTCCCCTGACTTGGATTTTAATAAGATTTTATAATGTAAAGAATAATAATAATGCTGATCATATTAAGATTGAAAAAAAAATAAACGAGACGTGATATGCCCTTTAGAACGCAAGGTCAATGAAATTTAATCATTCTTTATGTTATTGCTGTCATTACACTGCTCATACGTAAGGCTCTTTATAAATCTTTCAATACATTTGTAATTTTATTTTGTAAATTCGTGTACTATTCGTTCAATAATTTTTTAATGCTACTATCATATTACTGAATCAATCAATAATGTCTCAGTTGTTTCATTTTTAGACGCTAATTTCCAAGCAACGATTGTCGTAAACGGAACACTGGACGATTTAAGCTATATCGAATCTAAATGCCAAGAAAACATACCAGTAGTTGTAATCAAGGTATGTTAATCAGTGCTATCACACAATCCTCTATAGTGTAATGAAAACAATTCTAGTTGAACATGTGAAATTGTAACTGTGTATGTCTCCATTTGCAGGATAGCAGCAAGGAAACAGACGCGCTGATTAGACATTTATACAGGTAAATGACGATTAAAATATTTTATTAACTTCCTTTTACTTTGTTTTTTTTATAAATGATTTGGCATATGAATACAGATTAGGGATAATATAAACATTAGGAACAGTAAAAAGAAGTTACACAACATTGTCGAGTGTTGCCTATCCAACAGTACAATAATTTAAAGTAAATCCAACATATCTGAAACGGTCTTTACATAATTTTTAACGGTCGCAAATCTGATTATTTTTATTGTAAACTTTGATATTATACAGCGATATATATTAGAATTTTAAAAAGTAATTTTTTATAGCAAAGAATACCAGTTAAAGGGAAAAGAAAACTTAGTATCAGTGGTAAACATAGCAGGGCGACATGAGAAGGATAAAGACGATATCGCATTGATAATTTTACCTGCAATCAGAAGTAAGTGATTTTAGTACTAAACACATACACACACACACACGCACGCACACACTCACACATAAAAACTAACGAGACTAAGTTATTAACCCATTACACACCAAGCCAATGCCAATGTATATATATATATATATATATATATATATATATATATATATATATATATCATATATATATATATATATATATATATATATATATATATATATATATATATATGTATATATATGTATATATATATATGTATATATATATATATAGCATATATATATATATATATATATATATGATATATTTCCATAAATCCAGAAGTGATTCCAGAGCTCAATACAAGTTTTAGCCATTCTACACCAAACGAAACCATCTCTCAACCGAATCAAGATTCCAGTACTACAGTTAAAACAAACAACGAGAACAAAACCAAACCCCTCCCCACCAGCCGTCGGCCTAGTAAGTTATCTCGCGGCTCACACAGAACAAATCTTGATGCTATTTCTCACAAGTCTTCACCCGTAACGACCTTGACCGTTGACCCCGCAGAACCTGAGAGCGCCAGGTCAATATCCCAAGTTCAGATATCAGGAGCTGACGACATAAAAACAGGACTGACGGACATACTCAACGCAAGCACAAAAACAACCAATGGTACATCAGCCTTGAAAGGGAAAACACCTAATCAAGTTTTAAAGTACTTTTTGTTGTGTCTAAAGGTCAGATGTCTGAGTGAGGCAAGAATTTTTGCAGACGTTAAACTGGCAAGAGGCAAGTCAATATGAATAATAGGATATAATGTGTAGACTAATATCTTAACTTGAGTTGTTAATTAACATTGTTGAATTCATATTCATCATTTTCAGAAGCTTTTTAACACTTTCATTATACATTAATTGCATTTTAATATCAGTGTCATCAGATAAGATATATTACATGCAAAACTTTCTCTAATAGCAATGCATCAATTTTTGTAAACATTATTTTTGTTAAAATGTATCGACATTATTTGTAAATGTTATTAACAGACTTTTAAAAAAAAAGTTATCCAATTATTGTCTCGCTTAGAATATTGAACTAACAAGGGAGGTAATGAATGCAGCAGTAGCTAATGACTATACGGATTTTGTTCGATACATGATGGAGGAAGACATGGCTATTCTTGAATACATCGATCAAGATTTTTTTACTAAAGTAGGAAACAACATTAAATGGTTATTTGAGCAGTGTAGCTTAAGAAAATTCATTTGAAAAATCTGCATTTTTTTGTTTGTTTTACAAATAAAAGTATTGGTAATCCTAAAATTAAAGTAATTAGTGTTATATAAAGTTTCCCTTTCAAACCCGATGGTCTATGGGGCAAGTGAAGTAGAGTTCACTTGTTTCTGTGACCTCGGCATAAGAAATGATAGTGTGGTCAGCACTATGCCCAGCCGCCTATACTTTCCCTAACGTGAGTTAGGTACCCATCAGAGTTGGGTGGACTCAGGGACGGTCTGCTGCCTTGAACCCGGATTCGAACTCGAGACTTACGGGTTAGCAGTCCAGCCCTCTACCGCTAGACCATAACTTTTATATAGGGTTTTAGTAATTTTAAGATTAAATACCACCAGTAAACATTTGTGACACTCTAGCATCCTAGATTTTTTCAAACCTCTCTACATATATGGCTCATGTAGATTATTTTTCTAAGCTTAAAACAACATAAATCAGCTTGTCAATGAATAATCAAAGCATATTCAATTACTTGGAAATGATTGCACTAATTATATGATAGTTGTACGGTGCAAACAAGATAATTTACATGAAAAAAAACCACCAAATGTTAAAAGGATATTATACCGGTTGCAGAATGCCCACCGTTGTAAATACCACAAGCCAGAAAGTGCCTACCAGTCTCTCCAGGATAGTCATAAGAGAACTGAGGGGGTAAATATCTTTCATTATCTTTTTCAAAAAAGTGTGTACTATAATAATGTATAATAACTGTATGTGTCAATTAAATTTTGTATTTTAATAAATTTTATATATATATATATATATATATATATATATATATATATATATATATATATATATATATATATATATAATATTTCAGGCAGATACACCTTGGAATAGGTTTATAGATATCTTTAAAACAGTAAGTGTTTAAAATGTTACCTAAAAGTATCTACAAATATATTCAAATCAGAAATTTAATTTCGTATTATTTATAATGTCGATGAGAATCTTTTTCTCAAATCACTAAACTGTAGCTAACATACACGCTTTAAGTCATTACTTTTAATAGAAAAAAACTAAAAATATCATTTTGGTTATTGTCTTATTTATAATACCAGAAACGTAAATGCCAGATACAAGATTGCTGTAAAGAGAAGAAGGGTATTAGCGCAAGAATGTGGAGATTTTTGTACTACGTGAGTAATTTTTAACCAATTATCAACATGATAATCTTGTATTTTAAAATACGATTTATCTTTATCTGTTACCTGAAGTAGGTATGTACAAGCTCTTCCTTAATCAAAAAATATATATTTCTTGATTGTAAAAAAATCCGATAAAAAAAAACACAAATGTCATTGTATTTATACAGAGTATCAGAAAAACAGGAAATGAAATTAATGTATTTTAAGCAAATAATAATTTATCGTATTATTAACGTGTATCCAGCTTCCATAAAGTAAATCTTTCAAGAAATACGCATCGCTTGTTGCAGTTACCAAGATACAAATGTTCACAAGAAACTTTACAGGCTAAAATTTCCTGGGAAATCGACAGTATGCGTCTGCCCAATGACTGCCCACATGAAGATCAAATTCAAGGAAAACAAACAGATGAGCGATTGGACAAAGATAGAACTTCAAGATACAACAGAGAACATTTAAATCTGGGTAGTTACATTCTAGTTATAGTTATAGCAGTTCTGCATCTATATGACATGCAGTCTGTAAGCGACTTAGAAAGATTTTACGTCTTTTATTGTTTTAAAATATTAACTTTTTAATATATCATTGTAATTGGTAAATATTTTCAATTTCTATGTATCTAAGGTAATCATGACGCAACATATACTAAAAGCAATGTGGCCTGTTTTTACTTTAATAAATTAAAATATAAAAAATTCACTAAATAAAACATAATACAAAACTAAATATTACACACTATTCGTTTTTAATTTGTATAACAAGTAAAATAAAATTTCAACATAGGTTTTATCTTAAAACACCGTACTCAGCTTGATTTTTTATTTTATTTTAATTTTTTTTTCGATTTTTTTTTATTTTTTATTTCTATACATTAACATCTTATTTACCTAATGCCGCTATCGTTTTAACTGTAAATTGACATTTTCATACATATTTGTGCATTTGAAGAAGGTGTGTGTGCCTGGAAAAATATAAATTTACGGAAAAATGGCCTCCATAAACATGCCTGTAGATTCTTAACTAAGCGACCTAGCATAGCAAGCCGTATATCAGAATGACCGGCTTGCAATTGCTCATTTAAATAACACGAGCCGGCCCGCGGCATAACATACGCCGCTATTTAGTTGTTTCTAATTTTCAATAATTCATAATTTGTGAATTCGACAGTACCAACGCTGACACTGAAAATATTTCTTTAAAACACTATAAGTAGCTCGTTAAGGACCATAACCCCCCCCCCCCCTTCCTTCCCCCCTCCCTCCCGCTACGTTTAAAATCGTTGGCTCTGCTTGTAAACATTTAGAGTGAACACAGCTCACTAAAACCATGTAGGGGTGGGGAGGTAGGGAGAGCGTTTGCAGCTTGTTTTCTAACGGCTCGAAGAGGAGAATTATATATATAGATAAATACATTGACCTAGTTTTAAATACTAAAATAGAAATCGCGAGGTGAATGCATGATGGAAATAAGAAAAGCTGTATTCCCATTGGTTACCAGGCGAAGCCATGTTGTAAGTTACTAAAATTAGCTCATGTCAAGGCGACATATGACCGAAATGTAAGCCGTTGCCGAGATACCGGCTATTATTTTGCTCAGCGCATGACTTCCTTTACTCGACATCTGCGAACCTGTGTGCTTCTTTTTTATCAAATAAGTGCATATTTTTTGTTTGTTGGCTTCTTTTTACGGTAAGATTTGATTTAATTACTATTTTACTGAAATTATTTTCTAAAATATAGTTATTAATTGTATTTTCATCAATAAACTTGGACTATTATTCCTTATCGATAATGAGTCGTTCTAGATCTAGATCTCGAATCTAGATCTATTCTAGATCTAGAACTAGATTTAGATCTAGATTGGAGATTCTAAATCTAAAACCTAGATCAAGATCTAGAAGTAGAATTTAGATTCTAGTCCAGATCTATATAGGTAAATATGAGTCTATAAATACAAACAATAGTTTATAATAGAATAATAGATAGATCTAGAAATAACAATATGCCTTATTATTTTTAAATATTTTTACAGTCAATGCCTGAAGTCTCAAAGCTAGTGCTGCCAAGCTTGCTAGGGTTGAAGCACATCACTTGGGACTGCACAGATGCACTAGATGCACCTACAGTACCTGCATCTCAGTGCACATGCATCGGTTGCAGCTACACTACTTCCACCAACCATCGCAAAGAAAATTTAGTGCTTCTGCAGTCTAATCGCCGTAATGCACTGAGTGGATAGATTGGAAGTCTTACGCAGGTATTAGGATTTGTCAAACTCGTTTGAATTCTTGAAATCACTCTGATAGCTAGAATGTATAGATCAGTATATTGTCTCAATCTCATTTCAGCAGCTGAAAAAATCTCCAGACCGACTTCAAGAAGGCAGTTTCAAGTAAGACTGGCAGTACAGGGAACTGAGGTGGAAAGTTGGAGCTCCTTCTAATCATGTCCCTTTGACAGATGAAAGGACACACACCAGGATTGCCAGACAGGGAAAACCTCCTGGTGCTTCTGGCAAATGTGTCATGGTACATAATTCAACACCGCTATCTCACAAAGGTTCATCATTCATCTTAGAACATGTTGCCAAAGCTGTCCAAAATGTTTATTAGCAACTGACGACAAATGCCATATTGAGCAGTTGCATGATAGATTCAACCCAAATGAAAGTCTTTCTGCATGCATCTAGGCATATGGCCCCAATCATGGGATTACATGACAGTTAGTAATACTGAAAGATGGCTGTTATTTCACCCATAGCCCAACAGAAACTAGTTCAGGCTGAAGGCAGATCATCATATTTTTCTTCGGCTTTCTAAATAGAGAATGATTAGGCCTACTGTAACTATTTTGTTTTTGTAATGTTAGTAATATGCAAATGTTTTCAGAGTTGTATGCTGTACCTCTATGTAGCTATTTTGTAAGCTAATTCAATTTTTTTGTAAATTTTACTTGACCTGTTTTGAAGTTTTTTGTTCAGGGGTACATTTATAAAACCTGATTTACAAGAATAATTACTCCTTAATTTCAGAAACCAAATGATAATAGTAACTTCTGTACATACTAAAACTATTTAATAAGCTTTTACTATGATATTATTTGATTTAAAAGCTTTTATTAATTTTTAAAATATTTTTGATAACCCTTATTTACAATTTATTTTTAGGGGGTGCACCTCATTAAACCTAATTACCAAGACTAATTATTGCTTGATTTGATTGAAACTTTGATTATAGTATCTTGTATACATTGCTTAAACTATATGATAAGCTTTTGATAAGATATAAAGAGTGTTTAACAGTTTTTTTTCATTTTAACCATTAATGTCCCGTAACGCCCGCTGCCGCCCGACACCGTTAATGTCCCGTAACGCCCGCTGCCGCCCGCTTACAATACGCATAGAAAAATTAAATTTGTTTCATTAAAATTTGGCCTACAAATCCTAATTTTTAACTAAACAGGAAGTCGGATTGTTTCAGCATCCTTTTCCGTTCTCCTAATTTCAATGGCGCTTTTGAAAGATAAAAAATAATAGTTTCTTTCTATCTCGAAATTTTAGACTCATCTGTCCTATTTTTAGTAGATTTAATATTAAAAATAAAATAAAGTAATGCCTCTAAACGTATCTAGGCATGTATTTTATGAATTATATATCTTAAACATAACCAAATTGATATTTAACTGTTAAATTCGATGCATAGTTGTTTAGAAAAAAATAAATAAAGTTGACTACCGAAAATGACCTGTTTTGAATTTTCTCCGACATTTTTTATTTTTATACTGTACTTTTACCAAATATAATATATTCTATTTAATACTGTTGGAAAGCCAGGTTTATTCCCAACATTAAGCAATAGTTTTTATCTTAATTTTTAATTTCATTTAGACAAAAACAAATATTTTGTGAAACTATTCACTTGATCATACAGAGTTATGCTCCTTACATCGGGCCGTCATGGGTGGAGTTTTGGTAGAATGAATGGGACATTAATGGTTAAAACACGTTTTCCCCTTTTTCTCACAATCTTGTTTTTTTACCAGTTTTAAAACTTCAAAAGTATGAATCTCAAATACTATCTATTGGATTTAAATGAAATTTGTACAGTAGAAACACAACATAATTACAGTTAGAATAATATAGAATTTTTTAGGTTATCATGAGTAGTTTTGTTTTTAGAGAATTTCAAAGTTGATTTCATGGATAATATTTTAATCTAAAAACAAAAAATTTGTAACTTCAACATTTTGTCATATATTCAAAAAGTCTCTCTATTATCCTATTAGGAATCCTCTCTTTTATTTAAATTAGAAGTTTAAAGTCAATACATTAAATGGTTATTGAGTTTTATAGATTGAAGTATGATATGTCTAAATCATTTATTTCTGTATTTTTTTATCGGCTAACGCTGATGACACATTCACATTGGTCTAAAAGAATATAAAATATCTTTATATCTGCAATACATATGTTTGTTTTCTTAAAAAAAAATGTTTGTGAATTTTTGTATGTACGGTGTTGTGCCCCCTTTATCTTAAAAGTTATAAAAGTAACTAATGTTTTTTTCAGTAATCAGTTAAAGTGTTGTTTGTAAGAAGTGCTGAACAAAAAATTAGTTTTAATATTTTATCGAGTAAAAAGTCTTTGTTTTAATTAATATCTTAGTGCATTTAAAATCAAATTGCTATTATTTTTTAAAATTTAAATTAGATGTCATTTTTCCTGTCAAATTGAAATTTGTTTTCAACCGATTTGTTTCAGCAAATAAATTGTTTGAAAAGGCTGTCCGCTCCAGAAGAACGAAATTAGCGAAAGTTATTTGGCGGAGAGTATCGGTATGTTTAGCACTACAAAAAATCGTTTAACTTTTCACAAAGAATGTTGCGTGTGTACGTGTCTTTAATTTTTCCACTAATTTAGTTTAATACATGTGTGGCACAGTTGAATCTTCCCCACTTATTTTCATATTTTAAATGATAATGAATTCTGCATTTTTTACTGTATGTTCCCGTTTCAAGTTTAAAGACAGATTTAACGAATGCTTATTTTTCGTCAGCACCCAACCGGAGCCGCCTTGTTCGCGTGTGGGATACTAAAAGTCCTACGTCAGTATGAAACTGATGAAGACAAGCAGTTGATCTTAAGGAAAGATTTTGAGTTAGTTCTATTAATTTTGATGTATCATAATTTTTACTATCATTAGGACAGTGCATTCAAATTAGTTTTTTATACTTCGTTTTACATTAACGTGAATAACTTGATTTATTTTCTTCTCTCTATGAAGAGAATTTGAAAAGTGTGCCATAGACACAATAATGCGCACCTACCAGAAATACCCAGAAGAAACGATCAAATTATTAATCTACAAGATGCCAGAATGGGGCAACACAACATGCATCTACCTGGCCATCAACAACTACAACTTGAACTTCCTGTCACAGACGCCGTGTAAAGAACTCAACGATCGCTTGTGGAACTGGGGCACTCACGAGAAGGAGGAGTGTATGTGGCACGTGTATGAACTCAATGACGATACAACAGAGCGTAAAGTGACAGAAGAGGATGGAAGAGAAAGTCAAGAGATGAATAACTTACAATCACCAAACTCAAACAATGAAGATACAGCTACAAGTTCGCAGCGACCACAGACAGCTGATGATGATGTCGATACAGCCACTACAGACCTTAATGCTGAAAAAGAAGAGTTAGAACATTGCAGGGTACAAATATTTTAACACCAACATCATACTTTTTTAAAAACAAAAACTACCATGTATATTTTACTATTTGTCAAGATTATTTTTACAATGCAGGTTTTCTTTATAATTTTCTTTATAATTGTGTAGCAAATAAACAGTAAGATTTACTAATTTACTATCGATAATATAATAATTTACCTGGAATTATTATTCCCTTTTTCTTTGCATCGTGGTACAGCGTGGCCTAGAGATAGATCGCTAGACTGCTAACCAAAAGTTCAAATTCAAATCCGAGTTCCAGTCAGTAGAACTGAGTTAACATAGGTCTTATAGGTACCTAACTTACATAAGAGAAAATAAAGGTGGCTTAGCCTAGTGCTGTCTACATTATCCCTTCATATGTGAAGGTCACAGAAACAGGTGAACTCTACATGCTCCATAAACCACCAGGTTCGAAAAGGGTACTTTCCTTTGCAAAGCTTTGGTAATGCTTTTCTTTAACGTGTTGTATATTTTCCGTACTCAACAGATATGCGATGAGTGTAGCGATTACAAACTTCTTGCCAAACATTCCGCGTAAGTACTTAACTTGTTTCATTAGACCATCCCATAGTCCTCCCAGCTCTGATGGGTACCTAATTCATGTTAGGTAAAGTGCTGACCACACCTTCCCTTCGTATCACGTTGAAAAATAATGACTCTACTTTATCTGCCCAATGGATTGCGATGTCTAAAGAGGATTCTTTAATTTATTATCGGACTTGTTGATGTTCTGACATCATATAAATCTTGAGAATATCTTAACTTCACAGGTCAAGTCTGTTCTGTTTTTGCAGCAGTAAGAAGTACTATCCAATCTTAAGAAAACTCTTGCCGCCGTCTGTGCTAGTCTTGTTTCAGTTGGTAAAGTTTCTATTTCTATTATATCTCTGTATTCATATTTATGAATGTATCAAAACCAGGCGGGCATACTTTTCATAGGAGGATATTGAAACAAACGTCTCTTATACTATTTCGGCACAGTAGGTAATTGTATTTGACAAAAACACACTTTAGAAATCTACATGTAAAGTAAAATACTTTTTTTTTCATTGTTAGCATATTTAATTGAGATTTTTTTATATTTTTACTTTCTCGTATATACGAAATATAGAGAAAGTCTTGTAATCGTGCAAAAAAAATCGAGATTTTTACAAATCTCGACGTTTTACACCTCACTGATACAGAAAAAAATAATTTTGCAATCTTGTCCGTATGTCTGTGTGTCTGTGTCTGTGTGTGTCTGTCTGTCTGTGTGTAAACACGATAACTTCAGTACCGTTCAGCTAAGTTGATGAAATTTCATATATAAGTATTTTATCAAAATCGTAGTTCCGTATCAACTTTTAAGCGATTTCCGATTAACGGAAGTGGTACTTTTATATGTAAGTAAAAGATCTAATTTTCTACCTTCTGTCAAATTTTGAGTAATTTCCGTTGACCGGAAGTAATAATTTACGCTATTTCCGATTTCTCAAAAAACACATGTAAATTTATAAAGTACTAATAATATTGCGCACTATTATGCACATTTTGTTTTGGCGTTCGCTTGGTGCGCAATTCTCTTTTCTATGCGATTCTATTCGATTTTTAAAAGTTTAAGTAATTAAAAATCATTTCTATATTCCAAGTTATATAAGAATATTCGAGAAAGTTTAGGGGAGATCACTCCCGGTTTATTTTCCTTTAATTTAAATTGAGCTTAACTATTTTCCCAACAAAACAAATTTATTAAGTTTTTTTTTTAATCCACAACTCTAGCTCGGCTATCTCGTGTTCCTTCTCATTTACGCCATGGTACTTGTCTCAGTGTTACAACCTTTGACCTTTCATTGGCTGGAAGGTGTTGTATGTGTGTGGGTACTCACAATTGTGTTGGAGGCCCTCAACCAAGTAGGCAACGTTATGTATACATTTATATATATATATATATATATATATATATATATAGGCCTATATAATTCGCAAATGTAACAAATCCCGAATGTCATCCAATGTAATAACATTTTTATCAAACAAGTAAACTAATTTTTAAAATATTTTAAGATCGCTCGTAAAAATACAACTCAATATATTCCGTATTTTTTTTTACTGTGATTGTTTGTTAATTATACTAATCATTATAAATCAGCAATATATTCTACTACTGTTTTA